AGGTGCTGCTCCCGAACAGGTGAGTGCCCGGCGCTTCTGGGCGGAGAACGGGGCTGCGGCCAACGTTTGGCCGCCACCTGGAGACGGCGCGGAATGAATGAGAAGCCGGGGGCTGCCGGGCGGCGGGGTCGGGCCGGGGAGCGGGTCCCCTGGGCCCCGAGCCGCCGTCTCCGCTCCCCTTTGCCTCTGTGCCCTCGCCCGCCCTGGCCCGGGGCTTGAACCGCGGCTGGTAAGGACTGGAACCCGGTGGTAGCTTCCCGTTTGATCCTCGGATGCAGTGCTTTCAATGTCTCTCGCTCTTGACCTATGTTGAATTTCCCCCTTCCGAGGCCGGGAATTATTTGTGTTGGCTTTATTTCTTATTGCGCTAATGATGGAAAATCTATGAAAAAATCCAAAGTTACATTTATCTGAACATGGGGCCCTTATGGCTTAGATATTCTGAATTCCTTAAAAATGTCGTATTACCAATGTATTATAATGCGCATTGACTCTTTTTACATTGATTTGAAATTTTGGGGAGCCTTCCACTCTTAATATTTATGTCATTGAGCCCTGTATACCTGGGGTTAAGATCTTGTAAAGGTGATGCCATCCGTTTGCCAAGAGCCAATTTTATACCTCACGTGCGCTGGACTTTCCCTTTTTTGCCATCTCGGTTTCTGCCGGCGGACCCATTACTGCCGCCACCATTTACAGACAAATTAGTCATGCTTTTAAAATGAGGAGTAAAACTTTCAAAACTTGTAATTCATCACACTAAAAATTGTGTTTCGGTTGTGCTCAAGTTAGATTATTGGTGTTTAGGAGATCTGTATGAGCACCTTAGGTTATAAATAACTACGGTTTGCTCCAAAAGTTTTGGATTAATTTAAGGAAAGATTGAGCAGTAGAGAGAGTACGCGCAATGTGGTTTTTTTAATTCATGAAAGTGATAATCCAAAATATGATTGAAGCCAAGACTTTACTTAGATTATTGACAGATGTTTAGGTTGAGATACACTTCCAAGATTAGGATGTTTAGACTGCTTACTGGGAGACTCTATATTCTTTAAAAGGATGAACTTGACATTCACATTGAGATTTTCTTTCCAGTTCCAGAGGAATTTGGCACATTGTGAAATAACTTAGGATAGGTACCATCTAATAGCTGTTAGTGTTTTTTCTTGCTGGAAACTTTCAAGAGGAACATTGTTAGGTTAGAAGTAGGAGAAGTAAAAAGAAAACCAGCTGCTGTCTCCTGTAGCATATCTCATTATCTTAACCTCTTACCCTAAATTCCCTCCAGGTCTTTCAGAGGCAATAGGTTAGTCAGTAGGTTCATCCTGGGAACAGATAGCTTGTGTAATACAGATACAGATAGCTCTAATGTTAGCTGAGAAAACAGGTCAGATAGAACATTTTGAATCTTAGGCTTCTGACACAAAGTTTAGTGAGCTTTCTAAAAGTCTCCTGAAATCCCCGAGTTTTATAAAGAAATTGCAAAAATTGATGGTCCAACCACTGTGGACAGTTAGTACAACATTTAGGCAGTTTTCTGGTTTCATGCAGTTTTCACTGCAGCTACTTGTTGGAAGAAACTCATGAATACATTCATTCGCCTGATCATTCATTCAAAAAGTCTTTACAGGATGTCTCATTCTGTAGGTGCTTTATTATAGGAGGTAAAAGAATGTGAGACTTAGTCTGCCTCTAAGGAGTTTCGTGCCCAGTAAGAGATGAAAGAAATGACTATTTAATGAAATCAAACACCTTTCATTCTCTTACAATTAAAGGTTTGCAAATAGCACAAAGGTGCTGGAGGACAGGAATTCCCTTTCTGCAGTGGTGATCTTTTTAGGGTTCAAAAGTGGCTGGCGTTTGAGCTGGGCCTTGAAAGAGATTAAAACATTTCTTTGCTTGGGAAAAGCCAAGAACCAACTGGAAAGCAAGAGGCATGGAGGCGGCAGGGTGAGAGAAGAGGTACCTTGAAATTGATTTCCCAAAGAGCCTCAGAACCAGCTTTAGGTGCTTTAAAAAAATCCAGATTCATAAATCCTACTGTAGAATTTTTGAAATTACACACTTCTTAACAAAATAACAATAATAAAGTCCAGATTATTATATGCCCCATGTAAGTTTAGACATCTGGCTAGAGAAGCCTTCAGGGAGCTGAAATCTACTCTACCCTCCAGAGTGTTTTGGGGGAGGGTTTGGTAGTAAATCCTAACACTTGACTCCATTGGATAATCAATTCCTAATTTATGCCCCTTGGCAATCAGAGGTCACTGGGAAAGATGAGTACAGCCCCTTGGCAGTCATCAAATACTAGGTTATTAGAATTTAAAGGGGACCTTGGAGATGATCTCAGTATTTGGATAGCTTTTCAAAGGGAAGGACAGCAGCCCTCATAAAGAAGCAGCAGTTGTACTGGGTGAGATGTGGTCAGGAGTCATCCATGGGTTTATAAACGCCTTCTTCCAGATCCTTCCTCAGAAAGTGAAAATTTGGCTGAATTACTGTTCACTACTGGAACATGTTACTTTTTTTCTTGGTACAATTTTACAAGCAAGTACCAGCTCATTTGAAGAGGCGGCTGTATTTAGTAGGTCCCTTAACAACATGAGTAAGCTGCGTATGAGAAGAAATGGAAAAGCTTGTAATTACCAAGCTTCTACTGAAATACACTGCTTTCTTTGTAGGAGAACTAAGGTTATCATTTTCCTGTAGCATTCAACTGTAAGAGTAAATAGAATTATTGGGGGCTTTTGAATTAATAATCATGGCTCCAGAGTCACATTCAACACACTTATATAAACATTTGCAAATCATTTAACCTTGCTTACTGGACTTTACCTAGGAAAAATAAGGTAAATTGGTATCAATTGATCCCACAAGTTTTACTGAACACAGTTCATTTAAAAGGCCCAGATACTACATTGCATCTCATGACTAATTGCTGCGGAAGTTGAGAAGAAAGAAATCAGTGTGGCTGAATTTGTGGGGAAAAACTTTTCTTTGAATAGGATAAGTAGGTCAGGGAGAGGAGACCATGTGCCTGAAAGATGGCAGATAGGGGAGCAGTGATGAATTGTTGGGAAAGGGGTACTTCCAGAATCATCTGGGATGCTTTTTAAGATGTGCGTTTCTGGTCTTTGACCTATCTGTTTAAATCAGGTTTTCCTGAAGGGAATCCTGGTTAAGTTGTATATTTAACAAGTGTCCCAGATGATTCTTTCTGAAAAGCCTGGGGACTAGTTTATAAATCTCCACTCCTCCTTTCCAGAGGTGCTTATTCCTGGAAAGTTTGGGAAGCTCAGAGGATTCTGGAAGAGTGTTAAGATCTTTGAGCTTGGGGGCCTAAGACAATTCAGGAGACCCCTGAGCAAGAACATTTACCTCAACAAAAGCAAACTTCAGGGAAAGGAAATGATTGGTTTGTGAAAGTGGGACAAAATTTGGCACTGACATAGTGATGGGAATGGATCCGTGTAGCTGTCTCCCTTTTAGAGTGGGTAGGTGATTGCACTTCAGTTCCTGTGCTGTTCCCTAAAAAAGAGGTGAAGAGTGTATATTCTGGCTCTTGGAAAGAGGAGGAAGGGGGAGGCTCACAGCATATATATTTAAGGAGTCACTCTAATCAGGATTTATAGGACCTTGATAACCACTTGGATGGTCCTCACACTTGAATACTTAGAAATTTGAAGGATGGTGTGCATGGGTATTTGACTGCATAGTAAACCCACTTGTATTTTTGAAAAGCAACTAAAATATTTTGGGTTTCTTGGAATATAAATCCTTAGAAGGGGGCATCAGCCTTCCCACAGGAAGATGTAAGACCACAAGCAAAAATCTTAGCTGCCCTCTTGTTTCTACTTGGTTACAAAACAGCACCTGAAACGTAGCAGTTACCCTGAGTTCAGTGTCAGATGTGGGGGAGTGCCCAGGGAAAGTGGGCTAAAGAAAATTATTCCTGTTAGATGTGAATGACCCTGTGAAATGCAGTCATCCTCCCAACCGACCCTGTCCGTGAAAACCATGGACTGACCCCTTAAGTACATCCTTATATATGAGGGACTTCTGGCATCTGTGGGGAGGGGTCCTGGAACCAATCCCCCTCAGATAACTGAGGGATGACTGTTTCTCCCAACACTATTAAAAAGACTGGACCCCACTTGGATCTTCTGAATTTTAGCTTGTGCTAGTGGGCCCTGAGCAGCTGGTTCTGATTTGTAGCCCGGGCAGAGGAGAGGCGGCTTGTTTATACTAAGTGCTTGGAAGCCTCTCAGAATTTTCTTAGGTGTTAATTCTCCTGCCCCCTGAAGTTAGACTGCTATTGAATTATGAGAGATTGAAAGGAAAATTTATGATAGAGAGGAAAGTTTTTAAAAACCATCTTAATTTCCTGCTCAGAATTGGAGTAGTATGAGTACAAAGTTACATGCGGCTAAAATCCCAGTACAGAAAAGCTGCAGTATGATGTCCCGCCGAGCCCTAGTCTTGTGCATAGTCTCCCTTCCCTTCCCCACCCTTTCCCCCAACTCTGAGCTTCCAGGACTGGGGCAGGTCCATTTGCCATCTGCAAACCAGCTTGGGACTCAGTACCTCACCCAGTACAGGAATAAGAAAATTACTTTGCAGATTCTCCCTTGGATATGATAGTTCTATTTCCATTATGCTTGGCTTCCATGGATAATAACCGTCACAGAGGGACTTGCTCAGGAAGATGTTTTTTCAAATTTTATAGTTCAGATAGGTTGGCTGAGATGTATTCCAGAATTAATTTCTCAAATAGTTAATTCTGAGTTATGTTTGGAAAATTTTCGTGTTAGTGTTTTAAAATAAATTTTTCTTAATTGCAGAAGTAACACATGCCCATTAATAAGAATATTTTTCCTCAGAACTTAAATTTCTTTGTGAGTAGTTATTGTCTCTGCAGGGTTATAGGATTTTTCTTATCCTTGGTGTTCAAAAGTTCTGTCAGGATAAACGGTCTCATCGTCAGGTGAGCCTAGTCAAACACATACCATCCTTTAGCAC